AAAAGCCCATTGCATGGGCGCATCGTTTGGCATTGTTTTGCATGGGTGTGCATTGCTTGGCATTGCTTGGCATTGCTTTGCATGGGCTGGCATAGCTTGGCATGTGGCATTGCTTGACACTGCTTGACTGGGGAACCCGAGGAAACAGAAAAACCCGAGGAATTCGAGGAGCGCCCCGGGAACGGGCAAAAGTTGGGTCCCGAGACACCAGCTCTTAACCAAGTAAGAGTCCATAGCCATTTTGGTTCAAGGCTGCGTCTGCTGAGGCTCTCTTTGTCTGCACGAGCCACTCAGATCCCCGCGCTCTCGAAGAAATACTGTCGCCCGTCTAGCAAGAATGGCCTCTGAGATCGCTGCCCTCGTGGTGGACAACGGCAGCGGCATGTGCAAGGCCGGTTTCTCTGGAGACGATGCGCCGAGGACAGTCTTTCCATCGATCGTGGGTCGACCCAAGATGCCCAGCATCATGGTGGGGATGGACATTCGCGACAGCTATGTAGGTGATGAGGCCATGAGCAAGCGCGGCATCCTCTCTCTGAGGTACCCCATCGAGCACGGGATGGTGACCAACTGGGAGGACATGGAGAAGATTTGGCACCACACGTTCTACAACGAGCTTCGGGTGAACCCTGACGAGTATCCTGTCCTGTTGACCGAAGCGCCAATGAATCCCAAGGCAAATCGAGAGCGCATGACGCAGATCATGTTCGAGACCTTCAATGTGCCGGCAGTTTACGTCGCCATCCAGGCTGTGCTGTCGTTGTACGCCTCCGGACGCACTACCGGGATCGTGATGGACTCGGGCGACGGTGTTTCCCACACTGTCCCAGTGTACGAGGGGTTCGCCCTGCCGCACGCCATCGAGCGCCTGGACCTGGCTGGTCGGGACCTCACCGAGTACCTGACCAAGATCCTCACCGAGCGCGGCTACTCGTTCACGAGCTCGGCCGAGAAGGAGATCATCCGGGACGTGAAGGAGAAGCTCTGCTACGTTGCCGTGGACTTCGACGCCGAGCTCAAGGCGGCCAACGAAAACTCGGATCGGGAGAAGACCTACGAGCTCCCCGACGGCAACGTCATCGCTGTGGGCAGCGAGCGTTTCCGGTGCGCAGAGGTTCTCTTCCAGCCGAGCCTGGTCGGCAAGGAGGCGAGCGGGGTGCACGAGGCCACCTTCAGGTCCATCATGCAGTGCGACATCGATGTGCGCAGGCCTCTGTATGCGAACGTGGTGCTCTCGGGGGGGACCAGCATGTTCCCGGGCATCGGGGAGCGGATGACGAGGGAGCTGAGCGCCCTGGCACCACCCACGATGAAGGTCAAGGTCATCGCGCCGCCGGAGCGAAAATACTCCGTCTGGATCGGTGGTTCGATCTTGTCCTCCCTAAGCACCTTCCAGCAGATGTGGGTCTCGAGGGAGGAGTACAATGAGTCTGGGCCGGGCATCGTGCACCGCAAGTGCTTCTGATCACGGTCTGCCTGGGCATTGCTACAGCATGTACAGAGCTGGCATTCGCAGGCGGCGACCGATGTACAGGTTGAGAGTTGTTCCGACCTCTGGCGTGTCAAATGGAGGGCCGATGATCTCTTTAGCCTCCAAGCTTCACGGCGGTACTCGTCGGACTGTTTGTAGCCCCCGCTTCGGCAAGAAGAGGTAAGTTTCGGTCAGCTCCAGCTTACTGAGAAAAACAAAAAATGTTTACCCTTAGGCAAGCCTAATTCGGGAACGAAGCCCAGTGGAAAATCAATGGTTCGGACATCTGGAGGTACTCTTGGGGGGCCCCTTAGAGCCATCTGGGGCCGTGCTGGGGGCGTCAACGGCCCTCTTGGGGCCATCTTAGGCCGTCTGGAGGCCATGTTGAGCCGTTTGAAGGCCCATTCGGATTCCGAGAGGCCCAAGATGCCAAAATCATAGATTTCCAGTGGTTGTTCCCCATATCCTAAGATGGGGTTCTTATTATTTCTTGGACGCCGCCGACTCCAGAGAACAAGAACACACCCAGAACACAGACTTACTCATGCACAGACTTATTCATACTCAGACTTACTCATACCCAGACGTACTCATACACAGACTTACTCATACTCAGACTCACTCATACCCAGACTTACTCATACTCAGACTTACTCATATTCAGACCTACTCATGCTCAGACTTGCTCATACCCAGACGTACACATACACATACTTACTCATACACATACTTACTCATACTCAGATATACTCATACCCAGACGTACTCATGTACAGACTTACTCATACTCAGACCTACACATGCTCAGACCTTCTCATAGTCTGGGTTACTCAACACACGGCAGATTTTGAGGATGTCTCAGGCGGGGCGTTGGCTTCAGCACTCCTAAGGGGAGCCGCCAGGGGTGTTCTCACGGGCCCGGTCGCGGCCAGTTTGTGGGGATGTATCAAGCGGTTTGCTCGTTTTCATGCCCAACATTTCCTTGCTTTCAGATTGTGAGGATGGCTCAGGCGGGGCGCTGGTTTCAGCACCCCCAAGGGGAGCCGCCAGGGGTGTTTTCACAGGCCCGTTCGCGGCCAGTTTGTGGGGATGTCTCAGGCGGTTTGCTCGTTTTCATTCCCAACACCCTTTGCTGCCAGAGCAGAGTGTCAGGATATCTCAGGCGGGGCGCTGGTTTCAGCATCCCTAAGGAGAGCCGCCAGGGGTGTTCTCACGGGCCCGTTCGCGGCCAGTTTGTGGGGATGTCTGAGGCGGTTTGCTCGTTTTCATACCCAACATTTCTTTCCTTTCATATTGTGAGGATGGCTCAGGCGGGGCGCTGGTTTCAGCACCCCCAAGGGGAGCCGCCAGGGGTGTTTTCACGGGCCCGTTCGCGGCCAGTTTGTGGGGATGTCTCAGGCGGTTTGCTCGTTGTCATGCCCAACATCCTTTGTTGTCGGAGCAGATTGTGAGGATGTCTCAGGCGGCTAAGGGGAGCCGCCAGGGGTGCTCTCACGGGCCCGTTCGCAGCCAGTTTTGGGGGATGTCTCAGGCGGTTTGCTCGTTTTCATGCCCAATATATTTTGCTTTCAGAGCAGAGTGTGAGGATGTCTCAGGCGGGGCGCTGGCTTCAGCACCCTTAGGTGGAGCCGCCAGCGGTGTTTTCACGGGCCCGGTCGCGGCCAATTTGTGGGGATGTCTCAGGCTGTTTGTTCGTTGTCATGCCCAACAGCTTCTGCTTTCAGAACAGATTGTGAGGATGTCTCAGGTGGGGCGCTGGTTTCAGCACCCCCAAGGGGAGCCGCCAGGGGTGTTTTCACGGGCCCGGTCGCGGCCAGTTTGTGGGGATGTCTCAGGCGGTTTGCTCGTTCTCATGCCCTACATGCTTTGCTTTCAGAGCAGATTGTAAGGATGTCTCAGGCGGGGCGCTGGTTTCAGCACCCCTAAGGGGAGCCGCCAGGGGTGTTCTCACGGGCCCGGTCGCGGCCAGTTTGTGGGGATGTCTCAGGCGGTCTGCTCGTTGTCATGCCCAACATTTCTTTGTTGTCGGAGCAGATTGTGAGGATGTCTCAGGCGGGGCGCTGGTTTCAGCACCCCTGAGGGCAGCCGCCAGGGGGTAGGACGCTCATGAACAGACGCTCACTATGGCATGACATAAAAACTGAGATGCACATATGGGGAGCCCCACGCAGTGAGTACTTGTAGGTTGTTGGAGCCTAGGGTGGGCACAAACGTTTGGTATGGTGCGTACGGCTCGGCTTTGGGCGGGGTAAGGGGGGCCTACATATTGATGTGAAACAACAACATGTAGCAAGTGCGCAATCCTTCGATACACTGGATACGTTGCATTCAGGCGTTCGCCGAAAAACGTTGCCGCTCAGCACGTCACATCTGGACGTGGATTCCTCTCGCTTGGCGCGTTTCACGTCCAGAACACGTACATTCAGTCCAGTCGTTGCGAGACTTGGTGGGAGCTTCCGTGGGGTTTCTTGGGGGCTTCTTGGGGTGTCTTTGCGACTTCTGTGGGGCCTGTCGGGGCCTCGTGGGGGCGCCTTGGGCCGTCTTGATGCGCTCTTGCACCGATTGGCAATTTCGGATGCCAATTGTATGGGCCTCTCGCGGCCACCTTTGGGCTCTCTTGGAGCCCTCGTGGGCCATCTTGGAGGCCTTTTGGACCGTCTTGGGGGCCTCTTGGGGCTGTCTTGCGGCCCCCTTGGGGTCATCTTGGAAACTGCTTAGGCCTTCTTGTGGCCATTTTGGACGCTGCTTGGACCATCATGGGCCTCCGAGAGGCGAAAAAAGCGAGAACGCTCAAATCTTCAAAAAACTTTAGGAAACCAATGTGTTGGCCTCTGGAGGCGTTCCCTGGGGTCCTCGCGGGGCCCTTCTGGGCTTTCTTGAGCCCTCTTCGGGCCATCTTGGACCGTATTGGAGCCGTCTTGGCGCGTGTTGAGGCCGTCTTGAGCCGTCTCAACGCCCTCATGGACACCCAGGAGGCCCAAGGGGCCCAAATCATCGATGTCCCATTGGTTTTTGTGACTTTTAAGGCCCAGAAGGGGTTCTGAATGTTTGGTTCGACGGATGTGGCACGATTCCAGGGGGTGTTAGGGGGGATGCCAGGATTAAAACATACATGTATGGGGGATGCAACGGGACGTGGCACGATATAATGAAACATAGCACACCATCTAGCCAGTACGCATGGATTTGATACATTGGACACGTTGCATGAAGGCGTTCGCCGGAAAACGTTGCCGTTCAGCACGTCACCTCTGGACGTGGATTCCTCTCGCTTCGCGGGGTGCACGTCCGGAGTACGTACAGTGAAGTCGTTTTGGGGGTTCTCGGGAGTTCCGTAGGGGCGTCTTCTTTGGGGCCTCACCCCCCTCCCTCCTTTTCATACTCCCTCCTCATATCCCCTTCGAGCCAGCTCTAATCATGGGCGCCGCCGTGACCAACTTCCACCTGGTTGGCGCTGCGCCGCACTGCGCCCAGGGGGGGGAAATGACGGTACACTCCAGTCGCTGCGTGGGCGTTGGGGGGCTTCTACGGGGCCTTTGGGGGGCTTCTTGAGGACTTCTTGGAGGCCTCTTGGGGGCTTCTTGGGGCCCCTTGGGGACCTCTGGGGGCCTCTTCGGGGCGTCCTGGGCCGTTTGGGAGCGTTTTTGTTTTGCCGTTTCGCCCCTTCGGAGGCCGTTTTGGGGGCCTCTCGCGGCCGCCTTGGGGCCCTTTTGAGGTCCTCTTGGGCCGTCTTAGGGGCCTCTTGGACCGTATTGGGGGCCTCTTTGGGCCGTCTTGGGGCCCTCTTGGGCCGTCTTGGGGCCCTCTTAGGGTTTTTTTTGGGATTGTTCTGGGGCGATTTTGGAAGCTGTTTGGGCCGCAATGGCGAGAACGTTGAAATAGCACCACCACCATAGGAAAATTAATGATTCCGGCCTCTGGAGGCGCAGTTGTGGGCGCTCTGGGGGCCCTCTTGGGCCATCATTAATTAGGGCTGTCTGGGCCCTCTTGGGCCCATCTTGAGCCATCTTGGCGCCCTCGTGGCCCCCCAAGAGGCACAAGAGGTCGAAATCATTGATTTTTATACGTTTTGGTAGTTGAGCCCGGGGAGGGGGTGGTTACTTCGGGTCGACGGATGTTGCGTAGCCCCTGGGGGGGGTAGGGCGGGATACATATAACTAATGTAACACAATTCAACATGTTGCAATTATGCAATATTCGGAAACATTGGATACGTTGCATGAAGGCGTTCGCCGGAAAACGCTCAACACGTCACCTCCGGACGTGGATTCCTCTCGCTTCGCGGGGTGCACGTCCGGAGTACGTACAGTGAAATCGTTTTGGAGGTTATCGGGAGTTCCGTAGGGGCGTCTTCTTTGGGGCCTCACCCCCCTCCCTCCTTTTCATACTCCCTCCCCATACCCCCCTCGAGCCAGCTCTAATCATGGGCGCCGCCGTGACCAACTTCCACCTGGCTGGCGCTGCGCCGCAATGCGCCCAGGAAGAAAAATTATAATACACTCCAGTCGCTGCGTGGGCTTTGGGGGGTTTCTATGGGGCCTTTGGGGGGTTTCTTGGAGACTTCTTGGGGGCCTCTTGGGGGTTTCTTGGGGCCCCTTGGGGACCTCTTGGGGGTCTCTTGGGGGCGTCCTGGGCCGTTTTGGGGCGTTGTTTCTGCCGTTCCGCCCCTTCGGAGGCCGTTTTGGGACCTCTCGCGGCCGCCTTGGGGTCCTTTTGGGGTCCTTTTGGGCCGTCTTAGGGGCCTCTTGGACCGTCTCGGGGGCCTCTTTGGGCCGTCTTGGAGCCCGTCCTGGGGCCCTCTTGGGGACTTTTCGGGCTGTCCTGAGGCGATTTGGGAAGCTGTTTGGGCTGCAAAGGCGAGAACGCTGAAAGATCGCCAAAATCATTGATATTTTATAGGTTTTGGTAGGTTTTTGAGCCCGGGACGGGGTGGCCACTTTGGGTCGACGGATGTGGCGTAGCCCCTGGGGGGGTTAGGGGGGGAACATAATAATGTAACACAATACAACATGTTGCAATTATGCAATCTTCGGATACATTGGATACGTTGCATGAAAGCGTTCGCCGGAAAACGCTGCCGCTCAGCACGTCACCTCCGGACGTGGATTCCTCTCGTCTCGCGGGGTGCACGTCTGGAGCACGTGCAGTCCAGACGTTGCGGGGCCTGGTGGGAGCCTCTTTGGGATCTCTTGGAGGCCTCTCGTGGGCTTCTTGGGGCCTCTTGGGGGTTTCTTTGGGGCCTCTTGGGGCCTCTTGGGGGCCTCCTGGAGGCCTCTTGGGGTTTCTCTGATCCTCCTGGGTGTTTCTTTGGGGCCTCTCCCCCTTCCTTCCTTTTCATTATCCCTGCCTGTCCTCCCTTCAAACGCCGGCTCTAATCATGGGAGCCGCCGTGACAAATTTCCACCTGGCTGGCGCTGCACCGCGGTTCGCCCAGAGGGAAAAAACGACATTACCGTCCAGTCGTTGCGTAACCTTTTTGGAAGTTTCTGTGAGGCCTCTTTCAAGCTTCTTGTGATTTTTTGGAGGCCTCTTGGGAGCTTCATGGGGCCTCTTGGGAGCCTCTTGGGGGCGTGTTCGGCTGTCTTGCGGTGCTTTTGTGCCGTGTCGCCCTTTGGGAGGCCTTTTTGGAGGCCTCTCGCGACCGCCTTGGGTCTCTCTTGGGGTCCTCTTGGGCCGTTCGGGGGGCCTTTTGGACAGTTTCGGGGGCCTCTTTAGGGCGTTTTGGGGCCCTCCGTGGGCCCTTTGCGAGACCTTCTTCGGAGCCTCTGGGGTTTTTTATGGAGCCATTTGGAAGCTGTTTGGGCCGTCATGGGCATCTGAGAGTCGGAAAAAAAAGGCGAGAACGTTATATTGTTGAATTAACATAGGAACATTAATGATTTTTGGTTTCTGGAGGTGCAGTTGGGGGCGCTCGTGGGGCCCGGTTGGGCCATCTTCGGGGGGTTCTTGGGCTCTCTTGGGGCAATGTCGGGCCGTTTTGGGCCCGTCTTGACCCGTTCACAGGCCATTTTGGACCGTCTGGACGCCCTCGTGGGGCCCCAAGAGGGCGACGGGGCCCAAATCACAGATTTTCCGTAGGTTGTGGCTGGATTTTGTAAATTTTTGAAGTGCAGGAGGGAAGGGCAATTTTGGATCGACGGAAGTGGTGTGGCCCCTGGGGGGGGTCCGGGGGGGCACAGAATAATGTAACACAATACAATATGTAGCAAGTATGCAATCATTGGATACATTGGATACGTTGCATTATAGCCTCCGCGGACCTGCCTCCGGCAACACGTCACTTCCGGACGTGGATTCCTCTCGTTTCGCGGGGTGCGCGTCCGGAGCACGTACAGTCCAGTCGTTGTCGGGCCTCTGGGAACTTCTTGGGGGCCCCTTGGAGGCCTCTTTGGGCCTCTTGGGTCCTCGCGGGGGCGTCTGGGAGGCATCCTGGGGGCCTCTGGGAGGCCTCTTGGGGGCCTCTCCGGGGCCCCGTGAGGGCGTCTTGGGGGCGCTCTTGCGCTGTCTGGTCCCTTCGGAGGGTGTCTTGGGGTACTCTTGGGCCGTCTTGGGGGCTGCTTGGTGCATCTCGGCGGCCTCTTTGGGCTGCCTGGAGGCCCTTTTGAACCGTTTTGGGGTTCTCTTGAGGGCTTCTTTGGCCGTCCGGGGGCCACTTCGGAGGCTGTTTCGGCCGTCCTGGACCTCTGAGAGTCGAAATAGGCGGGAACGCGGAAATCTTACTTTGTAGGCCCTTTTGGGGCCATCTTGGGCCGTCTTGGGGCCATCCCGAGCCGTCTTGAGGCCTTGTTGGACCCCCAAGAGGGCCAACAGGCCCAACTCATTGATTTCCTATAGGTTTTGGTGGGTTTTTGAGGCGCAGGAGGGAGGGGCCACTTTGGGTCGGCGGAAGTTGTGTGGCCCCTGGGGGGGGTTAGGGGGCACAGAATAATGTAACACAATACAATATGTAGCAAGTATGCAATCATTGGATACATTGGATACGTTGCATTATAGCCTCCGCGGACCTGCCTCCGGCAACACGTCACCTCCGGACGTGGATCTACAGGCTTACGCCACATCCGCCGACCTCTTTGATTTTGTCGGGGGCCTTCTATCGAAGACGCCTACGGCGAATCACCGCCGCCCCCTGCCTTTTGGAATCGCCCATGTGACCGAGCGTTGTGGCAAGAGCTCTGCCAAGCTATCGGGCCATGTGTTCCCCCAGCCGTTGCGGAAACCCGTCGGGGAACAGTTGGGGGAGGATTGCGGGGAAGATCAGGAGGAGGAGGAGGAGGAGGCATTTTGGGAGCACTCTTGGAGCCTCCTGGGAGCTTCCTGGGAGCCTCTTGGAGGCATCTTTGGGTGCCTCATTGGGCCTCTTGGGGGCCTTTGGGGGCTTCTCGGGAACCTCTTCGGCCTTCTGAAGGCATTATTGGCCCGTCGGATGACGTCTTGCGGGCCTCTCTGGGCCGACTTAGGGCCCTCTTGGGGTGCTCCAGGGCAGTCTCGGAGACCATCTAGGGCGTCTTGGAGGCCTCTTGGACCGTCTTGGGGCCCTCTTGGGGCCGTCTTGGAGGCCCTCTTGGGCCGTTCTGGGGCCATCTTGGAGGCGTATTGGGCGATCTTGGGGCGATCTTTGTGGGCTCTTGGGCCGTCTCGGGCTGTCAGGGAACAAATGCCAACATCCGTCAAAACATTTGGAATATTCTTGGTTTGGACTTCTCCAGGCCCTCCTGGAGGCCCTCCCGGGGGATGGCCGTCTTGGAGACCTCTTGGGGGCCCTTCAGGCCATCTTAGAGCGATCTTGGGCCGGCTTGATGGCCTCCTGGCCCATCTGACGCCGTCGGGAACCGTCTTGGGGGCCTCTCTGGGCCGACTTAGGACCCTCTTGGCGTGCTCCAGGGCCGTCTTGGAGGCCATCTAGGGCGTCTTGGAGGCCTCTGGGGCCGTTTGGGCCCCTCTTGGGGCCGTCTAGGAGACCTCTTGGGCAGTTTTGGGGCCATCTTGGAGGCGTCTTGGGCGGTCTTGGGGCGATCTTTGTTGGGCCGCTTCGGGCCGTCGGGAGGCCGAACATAAGCATGACAACATTCTTCAAAACATATGGATAGTCGATGGTTTTAGCCTCTTCGCGCTTTCCTGGAGGCCCTTTTGGGGGCCTCTTGGGGTTCTCTTGGGCCGTCTTGGGCCATCTTGGAGGCTTTTTGGGCAGACTCGGAGGAGCCATCTTGGGCCGTCTTGGTGGCTTCTTCTGCGAATTTGGGGGCAACTTGGACCATCTTGGACCATCGTAGAGGCCATCTTAGGCAAATGTGACCATCTTAGAAGCCATATTGAGCCGTCTTGGAGGCTTTTGTTGTGGACGTTGGTGCTCGTTTGGGAGCCTTTCGGGTGGGCGGCGGGACGGGCCGAAGCCCCAGGGGGGGTTATGTTGGAAAAGAAATACAACCAAGTCGTAAGAAGCCCAGCACGCCAGGCACCTTTGTGCCTGGCATCGCTCGGACGTGTGCATTTGTTTCTCGGCGAGGGCCCTGGAGGAGCATCCTGGATCATCGAGAGAATAAAAACACTCACGAAACCGAAAAGTACAGAGGGAATGGACGTCCGAGCGATGGCAAGTGTGATAAATCAACAGGGGGCGGCGGATCCAAGGGCCCTCGGCCCGCTCTGCCAGCGTGCGTGGATTTGTTTGAATCAGAGTCCTCAGAGGTGCTTCTTCGGGTTCGGAGCTCTCGCGGGCGGCCTGTGGAGGGACAGTTTGGGAGCCGTTTGGGAGTTTCTTGAGGCCTCTGTGGAACCTCTTGGGGGCCTCTTGGGGCTTCCTGGGGGCCTCTTGGGGTTCTCGTGGGGCCTCTGGGCGCCTCCTGGGGGACTCTCGAAGCCAAGGGCCGTCTTGGCCCCCTCTTGGAGCCTGGAGCATTGCGAAACCAAAAATGCGAGAGCGCCCAAATCTGTCCAAAACCTAAATGAAATCCATGAATGTGAATGTTTGGAGCCCGCTTGGGAGGCCTCTTGGAGGCATCTTGGGGCGTCTTGGGGGAATATTGGGCCGTCTTGTTGTCATCTTGGGCGTAACGATCTCTCGGCAACTCGGCGCCTCCTTGGACCGTGTTGGGGGCCTCTTGGGGCCCTCTTAGCCCGTGTTGGGCCACCCTATCCTTTCATGGCGAGTTCGTGCCACGGTCGTCTTGGGCCCAGTGGGGGGGTGCACATTCCCGGTTTGGGGTGTCTGGCGGGGGGTTTGGATCATGGGGGGGAAACAACCTCACACCCCTGGAGACCCACGAGGGGTCGGAGGATCAGCGCAAGGGATGGGAGGGAGGGGCAGGATGGCCGCTGAAGCGCGAGGGCACCAAGCTTGGCTCGCCCCCTCCCCCTCCCCGTCTCGAGCCGCCGCCTGGTGCTGTCGCGGCGGCGCCTCGCGCGCGCAGGGTGCAGATGGCGACCGAGGGCACCGAGATGACCGAGGAGGCCCCCCTGGCGGCCCCGCGGCCTTGACGCTCCCTCGGCCGGAGGGTTCCAAGAGGGGTTGCGTGGGGGAGTTTGTGTGCCCACGTGGCCCCCCTGGGGTGGAAGGGAAGCAGGGAGGCGTCCTGCGCATCGCCGCCTGCTGCAAAAATCTCGGCCGGCCATGTTCGCGCACAGTGACTGTAGAGTGGCCATCGCGCGCATCGTCACCGCGATCACTTCTCGGCGGAGGCCCACCGACGCCATGCAGACAGTCTAGCGCGAAGCGCTGCCATGACGTTGTTCGGGCAGCGCCTCGCGTGCTGAAGTGTCAGAACCAATCCGCCGCCGCCTCAAAATCCTTCCAGGGGGGTCGCACGTCCCCCCTCTCTTTCTTTTTGCCGTCCCGTTACACATGTTTGCCTCTGGAGGTTGCCTGACGATCAAAAGTTTGGAGCCATCGCTGATGGGTCGGGGGCCGTTGTCAATGAGCTTGCTCCCTCCCTTGCCTGTCGCCTTAAGATCTCGCCGCGCGTGGTGTCGACGAGCCCGAGAGGGAGACCAGCCACCCGTCAAGGGGGAAGTTCCCCGAGCCCCCAGAAGAGTAAGTACTGATGCTTGCGCCGGCACGCCGGCATCACCGCAAGCAGCAGCAGCAGTCGGGGCTCAAGAGACGGGGGTCAATGCAAACGGGGGTCAGCCAGGGCACCGGATCCTGCAGGATCCTGCGAAGACCCCCTCTGGCTGACCCGGGTTAGCGAGCCGCTCGTGGCCGCGAGGCGGCCGCGCATATTGGCTGACCCGGGTTTGCGAAGACCTGCCTTGCAGTTTTTGTTTTTCTGCATTGCAGTTGTTTGGTTTCCTGCTGACCCGGGTCTGGATTGACCTGGGTCAGAAGATCCCCGAAGCAGCTTGGCCGCGATAAATGTGGGGGCGATGAACTGGGGGCAGCAAGGGCTGCAGAAAAGGAGCCCTTCAGGGCCCCTAAGAAGGTCCTCCAGGGCCTGAAGAGAGCACCTTTCTTCTTTCCCCCCACGGATCGCCCCCCACGATTCGCGCCCAAAGCAGAGCGAGGAGCAGCAATCGGCAGCAAGTAAGAGCACCAACTAGTAGCAAATCGTAGGCCAAAAGTGCAGACAGCCGCGCAGGAGGCAGCATTCGGAGAAGCAGCTGCAGGCAGCAGGAGACCAGTTGGAACGAAGAACGTCGGCATAGCTTGCAGGACATTGCTGCATGTGGCGCCCAGGCGGCCGTCGATCTGCAAGCGACAACCTGCGCGCATGCGCATTCAGGTTGGAACTCGCGGCTGTATCAATTGCGCGTGTGCCGGCCTGTCCGTGGATGGAGTCCTGTCCCTGTCGAGCTTCGCTCCTCCTCTGAACTGGCGGCTGGCGCGGAGCGTCTTGGCTTTCTCATAAGTTGTCTACCCTTGATCCGGGGGCCGTCTCGGAGCGCCTTAGGGCGCTTTGCGGCCTCCTTGCGCCCGTGGACCCTGATGGGCTCATCTTGTTCGCCTGCAGCCTGTCTTGGATGCATCATAGAAGTTCGCCTCGTTGCGGGGCTCAGCCTTCCCACCATGTCCACTGGCAGGTTCTAAAGGAGGTGCCCCGCGGACCACATGGAAGGCACACGGTGCTGCCGTAATCATCGCTCTGGGGGCCCGTCTGTAGGTATTCTATGGGATTCCAGAATTTATACGTTCCTCCTTAGAATTCCCGCTGACATGTTTATAAACCCTGGCTGATGTCTAGAAATTGTTTTCCGATGTGTCGAAATGATGATTATTAGTATGTTATGTTAGCGCGGGATTTCTGGACATCGCTTTCGAGGTATAAAATGTGGTTGTGTGTTCTACAAAACGGCTCGCCGCTATTGGGAAACATCGGAAGCTACATGGCCCATTCATTTCAATATGGCAGGCAATGACCCCAATCCACGCCAATGGGGCAGACAGCATCCCCGACCGTCGTCGTAATGACATACACGCGTACATTCGTTCGTTTGGGGGGGCAGGTCGCGCACAAAATGCAGCAATGTGGACGCCGTTCGCAGGATTCATGGCTCTGGCTTTGAAGGTTGCTGCTACATGCTGCTGCTGGGTGGTGTTCCTTGATGTTTCCTGCTGCTGCTGTCTGATGTTCCTGCCTGTTGCTGCTCTCTGATGCTCGCTCAGATGCTTTTTGAGGAGGGTCTCAGGACACTTACGGGTCTTGGAATCTCAAGGGATGTCGTGTGACGTCTGGGCGGCTTCGAAGGGCCCCTTGTGTTGTCATCTGAGGATCGTCTCCCTCCCGGGGCGTGCTGGGGCGTCTTGGGGTGCTCTTCAGCTCTCAGGGTTCTCTCGGGGAGTGTTGTGGCATTCTGTCGGCACCAATGCTCCCGCAGCTTGTCCTAGGTCTCCCGTGTTGGTTCTTGGCCAGAGTATCACTGTGGCGATCTCAGCGATCGTATCCAGATGCTGCGGTGACCTCAACGGTCGCAAGAGGCGCATCGGCGCCGACAGAATGCACCGATGTTTTTTGATGCGTGCGGCAAGCCTGACGTTATCTCAAGGATCGTCCTGCGAACGTAGCTGACAGTTGGCCGTAGTTAGGTGGCCAAAGACACGAGTGAAAACAGCAACCGCTCTATCCATTTTGCAGCTTGAGCGGCATAGTTGGAGGAAAGGAGTGTACGAGGAGGGATAGGAAGGGAAAGTGGAGAGGGACGGTGAGGAGTAGGATGATGAGGAACAGGAGGAAGCGGAGGAGACGGTCCAGAAGGTGAAGGCCTTGAGGGAGAGGATATCTTGCGCGGGCGCACCCTTACCACCGTCCAGCAAATAGTGGTGGAAGTTGTTGGCAGAGCGGTGCGAGGAAACATGACAATGACATAGCACTGCCTCCACCCCGCCCGCGGCCCTCCCGACCCCTGAGCCCAGCTCGAGAGGAAAAAGATGGGGGATAGGCAGGCGCCTTGTAATTGCATCGCACGATGCTGTTTGCGGCGGCAGTGTCCCCGTCATGTGCATACGAAGCCCATGGGAACCTTTGTCAACAAAAACCTCCCCTGCATTCCTTTCGGAACCCTCCGGCCCAGGATGGAGGTCGGCGGCGCGCCCTGGGGGGGACAGCAGACCGTCTCAGACCGCGGCGGGGTTTCTCGGAAGCCCTCGGGCCTTCTGACAGGTGTTTGCGTCTTCTGGCAAGGCTTGGGAAACTGCTCAGGAGGCCCGAAGCCTTCCGAGCCTTCTGAGGAAGGCCCGCCCCTGCTCGTTTCCCCCCCTGGCCCGCCCCCGAGAAGTGGATGTGCAGGGTCGCCATGAGGGGAGGGGGTCCTGATGGAAGAGGGTCCTGAGGTTCTTCGCCGTTTGCGGCCCCCCCTTCTTTGGCCCCAGGGCTGTCAAGAAAGCAGCTCGGGATGTCTCAGGATCGAGTGCTGGTCCTGGGCAAAGCCTCGGCCCAGGACCTTTTTACACCCAGAACTCGGAGGTACTGTTCTTGTCGTGCAATCCCGGCGGCCCGTTTCCAGTACCGGGGCCATCAAATATTGGTCCGGACCGAGAGGCTGCCCCCGGGGACAGTGTCGAGACTTCCATGCGGCCCGCGGATTAAATGGATAGCATCACCGTCGGATGTCTGATGATCGTCCTCCAGCACGACGTTTCTTTCCATGGTTTCCGGCATTGTGGAGATATTTCGGATGTATTCGACAGTGTGCGGAGTCCTCCGGAAGTTCTCGGAGAGGGTTCTGGAGTGCTCAAGAGAGGTGGAAGTGAGGAGGATGACGGGAGGGGGGAGTTGGGAGGAGGATCATGGAGGAATGATGGAGAAGGGTGAGGGAGGGTGAACATGAGGACGGGTAGTTCCTTCCAGACTGCACGCGTTTGTGAGTGGCAGCGACAGAGAAGACCACCTGCGCTCTGCACAAATGCGCAAACCTGACTGCGAGCCTCGGTGGTCGCCCAGCTAGAGAGCAGCGGCAGAAAATAATGGATGGAGGGAGAGCAGAGAGAGCGGGAAGAGGAGGGGACCCAGACATCCAAGGTCTTGAAACAGGTTAGAGATAGCCTCTTCCAACGTTCGGCCTCCAGATTCCAGGGGGGTGGGGGTCCAGGGCCATCAGAAAACAACTCCTGATGAGGCCACGGCCTCCCTCCCCCCCTTCGCCCTTTTCCCCGGCACAGGGGCGCCGACCTGGTGTTGCTCGACCACGGGCCGCACGGCCACCAAAAGTCCTTGTTCTGCGTCGGGCAACGCCGCGCTCGACGGGCTCCTGGCGGACTCTGACCTGCCCGGCAAGGTCCACCTCTCGCCGGCACAGGTCCTAGGCGCAGCCGCATGGCTCCAGGCGCCGCCCCGCGAGGCAGGTGGCACCGCCTTCACGCACGGCATCATGCAGGTTTCCCTGTTGAGGCTGTTGCGAGTCCAGCCTCTTGAGCAGCAGTGTGTTTGCCCAGCCTGTGGCGAGGGGGTGGGCGTCATCCGCGGCCACGCCCTGGTCTGCCCATGCCACGGCGACCAGACCAAGCGCCACAACGCCCTGTGGAACCAGTGTTTTTCTCACGCCTTGGCCGCTGGCCACGCCGTGGCGGAGTTGGAGCGCCCGGGGTTGTTACCCTCGCGCCCCGATGGGGAGGGCACCCCTGGTGGCGCAACGGCACGGCAGTTGCCTGGGATTTGGCCGCCACGTCTGGAATGCGCGCCGACCTCGCCGCGTCAGCCGCTCGTCACGTGCGCCGACAAAGCGGCACGAGTAGTCAAAAGGCAACACCAGGTCGATGTGCGGAGCAGGGCTTCACCTTCCTCCCCATGGCGGTGGAAACGCACGGTGGCGGGGACGGCCGCGAAGCACGCAGAGCTCCGGGGTGCTGGCCAAATAAGCGGCCGATTCCTGGGGAAAACGCACGCCCAACGATTTTCTGTTTCCTTCCATTGGGAGAACGCGCGGGCGGCGTTGCGCCGCCTCCAGAATGGCGGGGGTGTTGCGACCCGTTTGGTCGCGGCCTCCGCGGCTGACGCTCTCCGAGGCTTCCCTGGCGATGCTTCGCGCTTCCCGCCCGCCCCTGCAATCCTTGCTGGGCAACGCGGGCGCGCCCGTACGCAAGGGGCGGTAGGGGCGGGACTCCGGCGGTGCGGGAGGCAGCAATTACCCGAAAGGGCCCCTGCCGACCGAAGCACGACGCGGCAGGCCCGTTTCCAACGAGCCGTCTGCGCGCGGCTTTCGGCGGGGCCCTGCCGACCAAGCCACAGCGTGGCAAGTCACCCTGGCCCAGCCTGGACGACCACCACTCCGTCGCGACCCCGACGACCCCAGCCGTCGGGGACCCCAGCCACCGCGACGGCCCCGACGGCCACCAGACGACGACCCCCCTCGACGAATCAAATCTTTCCCGATGAGCACGAGAACCGCCACCCACTCCATCACTCCTTGCCTCGTCGCGGGTGGCCCTTCTCCGGCGGCCATCGTTGGGGTCCTTCCCATCTGCCCGCCCGCCTGTTTCGTCCTGCCGTCCTCGGTTTCCCGCCCGAGCGTCCGCCCTCGTCCGTTTGCGTTGCGGCCCCGTTTTCATTGTCTGTCGCCGCGCAGCACAGACTGCCAGGAACCAGCGTTGCTGACCTATGGTTTTGTTTTCGCCGCGTTTGTTCGGAAGGCGAGGGTTCAGACCCCCATTATCGTCTCCACGGCTGAAGCTTGAACCGCGATCCGTTCGCCCGCCGTTCCTGCCGGCACCCCCGCGATCCGCAGGTTTGGGGCGCTGCGGCTTGGGCAACCAGGCTCGGAGTGGCCGCGTCGGAGGGCCGCGATGTCCAGCGGCGGGGGGCTGCGCTGTCCATAACCCAATTTGGGAACGTTTTGCCGGCGCGCGGGCGCGATCGCTCAGTCAGTGCGTCGGGGAAACGTAAGACTCGAGTAAGCCGGAACTCGGGTTTGCCGACGTTTTTTTACGAGCGCGCTTGCGCCAAATTCCAGATAGGGCCTCGTCATTGTTATGATGGCCCCGTCACTCCAACCCGAGTCCCCCGTACACGAATCTTACGCCTCCCCGAGTGTAGCACAGGAGACAAGCTCCAATTCACAGCACTGAATCCCAGAAAATCATTCAGCCCCTTCCTCCCCAGGCCCCCAGCGTCGTGGTTTACACGCGGCGTCGACCTCCAGAGGCATCCACCCCTTCGCCCACGCTGTGTTTTTTTGTGCGTGCGCGTGGAGATGTGCTATCGTCCTGGGGCCTGGGCCCCCCGAGCCCGAAGGGTGCACCGAGCAAAAAGGAGAAGGTCCGCCCCGACTTCGTCCAGGTGCGAAGGAGCTTGGGGGGAGTTCCTTATCCTCTTGTTCTCCTGTCGTCTTCCTCCATGTCTCCTCCACCTCCTCCTCCTCCTCCTCCTCCTCCTCCTCCTCCTCCTCCTCCTCCTCCTCCTCCTCCCCTTCCTCCTCCTCCTCCCTCCTCCTCCCTTCTGCTCCTCCTCCCTCTTCATCCTCCCCCAGGAGAAGATGGGGAGCAGGAGGACGGAAGAGCGACGAGGCGGAGGAGGGACGGGGAGCCGCCCCGAGGCGTTCAATTCGCTCATCATCGCGGCCGCGCCCGATGGAGGGCGGAATCTCACCGAGGAGGAGCTCGCGAAGGCCACTGCTCTTGGGAGGGCTCTGCGGCGGGAGGAATCTCAATTTCACTGCGTTCACAGCCTTTGCGTGTTGTTGGGCTCTCGTTCCTTCTCTTCCGCTCCACGCGTCTCTTTAGTCCTCCCGTCTCCTGCATCCCTTGCCCTTAGAGAGAACTCCTGTAGCACACCTAGGCAGTTCGGTAGGGCGGGCGGGGCGTTTCGCCCGATATTGCCTCATCACTGATGATACTGAAGTTTCAGCAACAATTTCACGGATGGAGGGCGGGCCGTTGTCGCAATGTGGTTCTCGTTTTAGCGACACGCGCATTCGTTCAAACAGTTCCCAGTTGATCCACGGATGGAGTGTGGTTGTTTTTCAAAATGTGGTTCTCGTCTCAGCACCGCGCGCATTATTGTTGAAAGTTCTACGTAGGGGCGCTCTTGGGGGCATCTTGGAGGAGATCGATCAAAGAAGTGGTGAGCTTCAATTAGGGCCGCACTTCGGGAGTGCCTGAGATAAGATAGCCTCTTGGGCCGCTCTTGGGGCCGTCTTGGGGCTCTCTTGGGCCTCTACTGGGGCCCTCCTCTCGGGCCTCTACTGGGGCCCTCGTGGGTTCTCTTGGAGCCATCTTGAGGCCTCGGACGGCCATCGAAAGCAAAAAGGCGAGGAGGCAAAATTCGTTGATGTTCATCAGTCGTTTGAAGGATGTTGGCCTCTTGGCGGCCTTCTGGAAAGTTTCCGTGGCCACTTGGAGCCGTCTTGGAGCGGTCTTGGGGCCTTTGTGAGCATCTTGAAACCATCCCGAGCCATCTTGAGCCATCTTGAAGGTCATTTGGGGCTCTCTGAGGCCCTCTTGGAGACATCTTGGAGGTCATCTAAGACGCTCCCACCCTCGCGAGACGCCCCCTCCAGGTCCAGAGGAGGGGGTAATGAGGAGGGGTTAACCCCTTCCCGAAGAGGAAGAGGGAGGGGTGGAAGAAGAAACGCTCTAAACCATCCACGTACGCCCAGAGGGCTGGTGGGATTTGCAACTATTTCACGGGTGGAGGGTGGATCTTGTTCATAATGTGGTTCTCGCTTTAGCGCCGCGTGCATCCATCTTACAAGGTCGCGACAGTTTCAATGGCTCGTACGTTCAAGTCCCAGAAGTGATGTCCTGGCTAGCGTGCTGGCGCCACTTAGGATTCGCTGGGACGCCATAGTCACACCGATTCGCTGCGATGAAGTCCCGGGAATCGTGTTTTGCAGCGATGGGGGATTTTCAAGCGGTTATCATCCAATGGATAATTTCCCACAGTGCAAGTAATTGACAAAAAAATGTTTTAGAGGCAGGGTTTATTGCAACATAGTTGACGCGTTTTGGGTTTACACTGGTCCCTTCTCCTCCTCTTCCTCCTTCCTCTCATCTTCCTCCTCCTCCACCTCCTCCCCCTCCTCTTCCTCCAGTCAGGGCATCCCTTGCGTTCAAGGCCGGAGGGCTTCACGTCCTCCACGTCAGCAGTGCATACGCGGCATGGATCAGCAGTGTGGAACACATGTATCAAGCTCATCATGACCTGGACCCTTCCGACAAGCCAGCTCGAGCTCAGGGTCCCAGGTTAGTCACGCACCGAGTACGACAGAGTGAACACTATCGAGATATGGCTCTACAAGACGTGGCTGCCAGCTGGTGGGAGCGTGTTCAGGTGGTGCTGCACAAGCTGGCCCTGCACAAGAGACGAGGGAATGGGCTCAGTCAGTCCGAGGCTCTCGCCGTGGCAGGGGCCAAGCTGGCAGGGAATCCACCAGGATGCGCGTGCAAGTCGGTTGGCAGGTCTCCAGAAGCTACCACGTGGACGCCTTGGCCCACTGTTCTCATTGAGCTCAGAGACGCTCCGCGCCAGCAGTTGGACGTCTACGCCATAGAGGCCAAGCGAGTCGCCCAACGGGCTCGCAGTCACACAGTTTCAGCTCCGCTGGCAGATTTCAAAGACTGGATTGGGAAGCATGAGAAGACGGGCGCCATCTTTCGCGTCACGAAGGATTCACTTCTTGCTGACCTTGAGTTCCCAGCTTCGATCAGCTCGGATCAGAGTCCCATCGTTCATCCCAAGGACGTGGTGGACCACAAGGCAGCTCAGTGGCACACCTTGTGGACATCGAGAGTCAAGCAGACAGTACCAGAGGTGCGAGAGCTCTTTGAACGCATTCGGTGGCATGCAGCATCAGAGCCGTTGACACCTCTCACGGCAGACGATATTCGAGCAGCAGTTCGGCGAATGAGACCTCGCGCGGGACAAGGGGTCGATCGGATTTCTCCGATCGGCCTCGAACGGCTACCAGTGCAGGCACTCGACGAACTTGCCGTCATCTAAACCATGCGCGAGCAATATCAGACATGGCCCTGGCAACTGATGCCACGACTTGGGAGGCTTCTACCCAGGAAGGGGCCAGGCAACCGTGCGATCGGGCCCATTTGCATGGCCTGCAGAATCTGGTCTCTATCACGGGAACCTCTCATTCGTGAATGGGCCAGCGCAGGGCAGCCAGACTGGGAGGCGGCGACTGCAGGAAATCACGCCCTGCGCGAGGCTTACCCGCGTGCGCTCGACGAAGAGCTCTACACGAAGATGAAGGCCTCACACGGGCATGGACTATTAGATATACCATCTTTTTTACGACGATATGGAATGGTCTTCATTCGTTGAAGGAGCGACCCGCTACGGGCCCCCTCCAGTTACGCTGGTTCTTGGGCTTCAAATGTGTGCAGGACCTCGGCTCCTTGACCAATGCGACGAAATCTCATGTCCGTTTCAGAGTACACGGAGCATAATTCAAGGACTCAGGAGAAGCACGACATTTGCCAACGTAGTCGCCGACATGGCAACGGCACGCCTCACGGCCTCCCATCCTCGGCTGCCCGAACGGCTATGGATAGATGGCCTTTTCTCAGACAGCCGCGGGGTCGAGGTCTTCGATTCGCAGCGATTTAGTGGGGGGCATCACGACCACGAACGAGCTTTTGAGCGAGTAGTCTCTCCAGCTCGCGAAGAAGAGCGCCATCGCTTGTTCGGATATGCGGGGTGCCCACCGCATTCAACAGAGATTGAGAGCACGCGGCATTTCAGTTATTGCGGCCCCTTAGACCTCTTACCTCGGCATCGATCTGGCCAGCGGCAAAAGGCGCGGGCGAGCTACGCGACGGAAAAAGGTTCGCCGCGACTCTCAAGCAGCATAATAAAGTACGTAGACATGCTTTCACTTCCAAGAGGTTCCGTGTTCTGCAGAAGGTGGAGCTGGCAGGGCCACAGGCTGGAGCACGATACGGACATCAAATACATGGACGACCCGCGACCTCGCTGACCCACCTCCGTCGGCGCCTAGGCGCGGTCGTAGGAGGGCACAGGCGGGGTCGCTGCTTAACCACATTATTAGACGTCAGAGCCCCTGGCGCTGACCCAGGGCACGCCCTACCTCGACGACGCCTGGCCGAATGGTTGCGAGTGCGGTTGGAGGCCCCTCGGCTTCGGATTCCGATATCGAAGGTGCGGGACACCACAGTCTCAGATTTTCTGCAACGAGAACCTCGCCACCGAGCGAGGCACATTCGTGGTCCTCTCACGGCTGCGATCCACTACCTCCTCGACGCGGGCCGGGGCATCCCAGAGCCGTCCTGGCGGCATCAGGCAGCCGACGCAGCGGGTCACCAGGAGGGGTGGAACTTTGCAGGCGTCGAGTGTCAAGCCAGCGATCAGGCCGTGGAGCTCCCCGGCGCTTTCACCAAGTCCATTCAGCTGAAACAATGGAAGCACGCAGCAGTCTCACCCTTTTGCGGAGGAGGCATGGGGGCTGGAGTGGGCAATTTCAGCCTCAGGAAGCAGTTGTACCAGTTGGAGCAGATCTCCCAGATCGGGCGACGGCTGGCTCACCTTTTACTCGCGATCACGGTCGGCGGGGCACTGACTGCGCCCCGCAATATCGAAGCAGGATATGATATCCCACCACAGTGTGCTTGCGATGGGGATGGCCCAGAGACGCCAAAGCACCGCTTCTGGACTTGTAGTTGTAACCAAGGCTCGGCAGTTTTCGAGGCGCCCCAAGAGTTGTGCCACAAATCGCTGACTCAAGGTGACAGTTTGGAGTGCGATTGGCATCGAGGGCTCATACCCTCTCATCTGACGGCTGTGGACCCTCCCGCGCATGAGGAGAGCTGGACGGCCAGCCACAACGACGATCTCGACCAGAACTTTTTCGGCGATGGAGTTCAGACGGCAGCGATACACATGATCTTCGACTTCGCCGGGCAGGGTTAGCAGTATCCGCTGTCGGCGAGACCCCTGGACCAGACTCTCGTTTTGTTTTTGGACCTCTGCCTGGAGTGCGGCAAACCGTCCCCAGGGGCGAGCTGCTGGCCTTCCTCCTAGGCATGCGGTGGTCCGCTGGTTTCATGACGTTTGTCACTGACAACGAGGAGGTTTGCAGAGGCTGGTGGGAACGGCTCTACGTTTCACCGCAAGGCGTGAGCGCAGATTTGCGGCGCGAAGCCGGCGCGACCCTCAAGCAGCAGGGCCGACCGCCATGCCGTATTGCAGTGATCAAAGTGCCGTCTCATGTCTCTGGCGAGGAGGTCATCAGTCGAGGCCTCTCGGGGCCTCTTATCGCAGGCAACGTGTTTGTTGATCAGTTGGCGGGAGAGGCGGCCTCGAGGGCACGCGCCCCGCAGGATCAGCGCGCCCGCGTGAGGCAGATTGAGAGCGAAGTTTGTCTCATTCGCCAACGTTTGCTCCGAGCTACGCTCGAATCCGCTGTCTTCGATGAGAAAAAGAAGGCCCCCCGAAGGTCTCGGAAGCTTCCTAGGGTCTCACCTCCTGCCCCAGCCACGGTGGCCCTTTTTTGCACCGCCCATCGCATCTCGGAGTGTGGAAAAAGGTGTTCTGTCTGTAAGGGGTCCACGACTGTGGCTGCGAAGAAGGAGTTTTTAGGTTCAACATGTTTTCAGTTTGATTTGCAGTCCTCGGGGGTCTTGAGGGCTCCTCGGGGGA